TTACCCCCCCTCCAGGGGGAGTTCAGAGACAAAAATGCAGCTCGTGGGGTGAGATCAGAACAGTTTAATAAGGGACACGGAGAAAACCAGAAGAATTTAATATTAATGACGATCCATAACAGCAGTGACAGTGACAGCAGCGGTAGCGACGAGAACAATGAGAGCGCCCGGCCCGGAAGAGCCGCGCTCAGCGAGACGGGACGGACACGGCCTGGTGCCGCCCCACAAACCCCTTCTAGGGGCATCGCCCCGCCCCACACAATCCTTTTATGGATATTGTCCCACCCTGGCACTCCTTGTAGGGGCATCGCTCCGCCCTATATGCTCCTTGTATGGGCATCGCCACGCCCCACACGCTCCTTTTATGGATGTAACCCAGCCCTGCACGCTCCTTTTATGGATATCATCCCGCCCTACAAACTCCTTGTATGGACGTAACCCCACCTCACACTCCTTTTATGGGCATCGCCCCGCCCCACACGTTCCTTTTATGGTATAGCCCCACCCTACACGCTCCTTTTATGGGCATAGTCCCCTCCCCACAGGTTCCTTTTATGGGCATCGCCCCGTTCTACACACTCCTTTTATGGCATCGCCCCACCCTACAAACTCCTTTTATGGACACAGCCCCGCCCCACACTCCTTCTTTGGGCACCGTCCGGCCCCCGGGGCTCTCAGTCACCCCGGTCACCGCCCCATAACCCTTTTACGGTCCCCGTCCCGCCCCTCCCGCTGTCGCTCATCCCAGTCCCGCCCCTCCCGCTCCCGGTTGCCGATGTCCCCCCGAGTCTCATCCCGCATTCCCGGCGGGATCGGACGCTCCCGGCCGAGGGCAGCGCTCCGGGCAAGTCGCGCCGGGGACAGTCCGCGGGGCTTTGAAGCTGGACACTCGCAGGTTTCGCCGGGCACAAACCCCAGCGCTTTTGGGCACCTCTTGCTCCAGGGGTTTTCCCTGTGGGAAGAGGACAATTAGTCTTTCCAATGACCCGATGGACAGAGGGGGAAAAACACTCTCAGCATTCCCTAAAAAACATCTCCAGCACTTCCAGATCCACCTGGGCCAGTGGAAGGTGTCCCTGCCCAGGGAGTGGCACTGCAGGAGCTTTAAGGTCCCTTCCAAGCCAAACCACTCCAGGATTCCATCACCATTCCACCATTTCTCTTGGCATTTATTGCTTCCTCTCCAATTCAAATTCTCAAATTTGGGGGCTTTGTTAAAGGAATCATTTTAAGATGATTCCAGGAAGAAAAAGGGGAGTGGAAAACATACAGGAATCACCCCAGCACCCATCGAATCCTTATTCACTGGAAGCACATTCCCTCAGCTCTCTCCTTCTTTCTTTTCTCCTGCAAAACCTTCTGGTCAGACAGTTCCCAAGACAGAGCTGGCATTACCAGCTTTGCTCTGTCACAGCCAGGGGAGGTTCACAAGACCTGTTCCTCTGCATTTTGCCAG